CCGCATAGACTGCAGAAATGCAGGATGTCGGTCGCGACCCGCCTCCACTTGCCATGTTAGGTTGTTAGGATCTAGGATGGCTGTTAAAAAGGCCTGGTAGTACACATTTATGCGCGGGAACGGTGGGCGGGTTAGGCCTGTAGTCCTGTTCCCCCTGTAGTTCTGTCTTATATCTTCTCCCGCGGCAGCCTCCCACCAGTCACAGGTGACAGATTATGCTTCTCGTGGACTCCAACCGTCCGGCTGGCGCTCCTGATATACGGCCAGCGCCGTTCGGGCGTTCGCGGGGCCGTCCATCGGTTGCACAAGGCCCTTCACGCCGGACGTATCCGGAGTATTATGGGTTGTCTCCGTCCCCTCCGCCTCCTCAACTGTCCACTTACCCGTGCACACCCAACTAGGACCAACCCGCCCTACGAATGCATTACTGGGTTGGCTACACTGCGGTGGCCTTCCCGGTGTATCGTAGGGGGATGGGGATCTGTTCGCAGACCGCACCCTACGTCACAGTATCACGTTGTGCCCCTTTATCACTGCACATCATGCCTTGTTCCCGATATGCCGTACTTTTCACCAATTCCGTCCCTATTTGTACCTTCCGCCATTATTCCATCCCCATACACCCCACCGCGCCGTCCTAGTCGTGTCGTCTCGTGTCTTAGGCTTACCTTAGTACTTCTTTGTTCGCATCTTCACCATCGTCCTCTTTAACTTATACTTAACTTCCCCTTTCGCTTTCCTTGCCTCATTCCGCATATCTGGCTCTCCGCTGGACATCGCTACCAACTCGCCTCGACCTAACTTACTCCATGGTCCTGGCGGCTTGCCATGGACATGTCTCATGGTGCACATATCCTGTGCACGCAGGTACGTGTTTTATCGTGTGTCAGTCTGTGTTGTTTTTCATGCGTGCTCGTGTTGTGCTGTTCCTGTTGTTTGCCTTTGCCCAACGGCGCGGTGGGTCTCCAGCTCACCTTCAACAGCCTCCACACATGCCCAAGACTATGGTAAGGTTGCTCCATAATTGGTAAGTTCGGTAAGTTTAGCTCGCATTGCTTTAACCACCATTTCGGCTCGACTCACGGTTGATTCCACCAGGGATTGTCAGCAACTTGTATCTTTATCATACCACACTTTGGAATTTCTTTTTTCCCCCCCACACACACACCCCACTTCCCCCCGTCTCCCCCCGCACACCACCCCCGCCCCGCCTTCCAGCCCCCAACGCCTCGCAGTGTCGGCGCGCGCGCGCGCCGCTTAGTATTATTAAGACAATAGATTGGCGTTTGCCTCTAAGCTCCGAGAGGTGGCTCGGGTCGGGAGCGAATTAGCAGTCCGCGCCAAGAGACCGTTCCAGCCGTTATCGGCAAGGTAGCTGTATTGTAGACATAGTGCTCTTTAACTTTATAAAGTAAAAACGGTGTGGCATGGTATTCGGGGGGTACCTATTTTCAGCGCGACGTCCTTTGACCGGTAACCGTTTGTCGTGCTCATTCCGACGGATACGCGAGAACCCCATGGATTTCTCACTGGCAATCGCTAGCTGACTCTATGCTTTAAATTCAGCGCACGTCAAAACCCATCGAGATCAGGTTTGGCGTCTGGGAGCGCCGATCAAAGCGAAACGACCTTAAGTTCACGGCCCTCCCGAATAGTGTATATGAAGCTAAATCCTTCCAGCACTCTCTGATGCTGTCCTTCGAGGGTGCATGGGGGGTCGCGCCCAGCCCCAGGGCCCGGCGTGTGTCGGACCCGAATTGCCCTCCCCGCGTGTCCCAGGGCTACGCGCGACCCCCCATGCAGCATCAAAGGACACCATAAGAGTCGACTAGAAGGATTTAACTTCATATACACTATTCGGGAAGGCCGGGAACTTGAGCTCGTTTCACTTTGATGAGCTCCCACCGACGCAAAAGTCATGCCCGCTGAAAATGAGAGTGCGCATAATTTAAAGCATGGAGTGAAGAAGCGATTGCAAGTGAAAGATGCATGGGGTTGTATCGAGAATTCGTGAGGAAACTAACCGCGAGCGAGTACCGTTCATAAGTCGTTGCGCTGAAAATAGGTACCCCCGAAATACCATGCCGGACCGTTTTTATTTTATAAAGTTAAAGAGCACTATGTCTACAATAAAGCTACCTTGCCAATAACGTCTGGAACGCTTTGTAGGGGCGGAGCGCTAATTGGCTCCCGACCCGTGCGACGTCTCGGAGCTTAAAGGAAAACGCCAATCTATTCTGTTAATATATATCTTGACTTGTAGCAAAACAAATCCGCATAGGCAGCGAGACCTTAACTGCGGCGTTGGCGATGCTCACTCTGACTGGTCGCCAAGCGCCTTAAGACGCTAAACCGAGATTGCCTTGTTATTCCAGACATAATCGCGGTATAGAAAGCGTCGAAATCTGGCCGGTTAAAGCGTGCTTATCAGGTCACGGATGCCGCGATGACACCTGACGGCTCGGAGGTCTCTGCCAAACACCCATACAGTCTTGGTGATTAAGAGCGAAACTACCACGGCACTCTCCAGTATGGTTCCGTCTCAGTTGTTCCCTTTGCCACCCGAGTATCCCCTAACCTGCGGCTCGCACCCAACCAACCTGCCTGCAAACCTCCTTTATTTGCCGCCCCCCTTACCATCCACCTGCCACCCCCAAACACTGCGCTTGCCTCTGCGTTCTTTCCCCTCTGCACCTGCCCTTTTCCCGAATTTTCCACGCTAGCCCTCACCATTCAACACTCCCCTCCTCGCCCTCACCCCTCTATGCTTCTCAGTTTAGCGGACGTTTCCCCCAAATCACCCTTTCCACCTCTCCAAGAGCCCTTTCCTCCCGCTGCGAACTCTCGGACCTCTTTACATCACCAATCAACCCTTCCGTCGCCCACCACCGCTGCGGCACCCTCCTTGCTCCCCTGACCCTAACCTCATGACCTAACGGAGCCATGCCATAACGGTGCATGCCAAGTACAGACTCCCTTTACACCAAGTGTGTCCCCTTTACATTCCCGAAGCTTTTGCGCCGAACCAACCCCTCCACCCCCCAGCCTCCCATTCCATCCTTTGTCCGTCCCCCCGCCCCCTCCATCTCCACCACCCACTCGGCCCAGCCCCTTGGGCCCCTACCGCCCCTGAACCCTTACACGCCCCACATTCCATACTGCATTAATTTAGTCATAATCTCATTCTTCATAATCACACCCCATTTCCCCTTCCCATTCCCTACCATTCCTCCCCGATCTTTGCCCACCTCACCCACTCCCTTTACACTAAGTCCCTCCCCTTAACATTCCGAAACTTTTACCCCCTGCCCAAACCTTTTGCACCCAACCATCCCCTCTCCCCCCTACCCTCCTACCCCCCCCCCCCCCCACACACACACCCCACTTCCCCCCGTCTCCCCCCGCACACCACCCCCGCCCCGCCTTCCAGCCCCCAACGCCTCGCAGTGTCGGCGCGCGCGCGCGCCGCTTAGTATTATTAAGACAATAGATTGGCGTTTGCCTCTAAGCTCCGAGAGGTGGCTCGGGTCGGGAGCGAATTAGCAGTCCGCGCCAAGAGACCGTTCCAGCCGTTATCGGCAAGGTAGCTGTATTGTAGACATAGTGCTCTTTAACTTTATAAAGTAAAAACGGTGTGGCATGGTATTCGGGGGGTACCTATTTTCAGCGCGACGTCCTTTGACCGGTAACCGTTTGTCGTGCTCATTCCGACGGATACGCGAGAACCCCATGGATTTCTCACTGGCAATCGCTAGCTGACTCTATGCTTTAAATTCAGCGCACGTCAAAACCCATCGAGATCAGGTTTGGCGTCTGGGAGCGCCGATCAAAGCGAAACGACCTTAAGTTCACGGCCCTCCCGAATAGTGTATATGAAGCTAAATCCTTCCAGCACTCTCTGATGCTGTCCTTCGAGGGTGCATGGGGGGTCGCGCCCAGCCCCAGGGCCCGGCGTGTGTCGGACCCGAATTGCCGTACAGTCCAGATACGCTGTATCTCCGAGGCTAGAGCCTCGCTACGCTCGGCGTCCCACGCCTCGCAGCACAAAGATTCACCCCTGACAACAGCTGGTCAACGCAAACTGGTGGCGCAAACTATGAAGCCCTTGTCCTCCCGCATAGTCCCTTGCTCTCCCCATCACCCCGTATGATTCAGATAGCCCCCCATCAGCGCTTTACGCTCCCTGCGGCCTTGCGTTCCAGTCTCGCAGTGGCTATTGCAAGCAGTGTACGATGCCTGGAGCCCAGGAAAGGTACCGCAGCGCGGAAGAGGCGTAAGGACACAGTCAGCAAGGGGACAATGGAACCCTTATGCCGCCCCAGCGGTTAAGCGTCAGAGGGGCTGAACGAGCATCCTGCCTTGTCGCGTTGGGGGGAATAGGGGCGAGCGGAAGCGTCGCGATGGCGGTTCGGCCGCGTGTTGCAAGCAGGTTTTTAAAGGGCTGCTCGACCGCAATTGCAACACCCTGACGCTGTAGACGCCTCAGTCCTTTACCTCTTGTGCGCAGTCCTACGGAAGCCTGTAGCTAGGCAAGTCCACTCAAGCCGAAATGAAACGTTCCAGGCAAAAGGGTGGCACAACGCAAAGAGAGAATAACCTGCGAAAATGCACACGCCATGTAGTTTAACATAATGGGGGAAAGGGCTCAAGGGCTCTACTAGAGACGGCAGTATAACGTTCGCATGTTGCAGCGCAAGAAGCGTGTAGCGGTAACTTGAAATGCTAAGACGCGGGCGCTTGTACCACAACAATAAATGCTATCATGGCGAGTGGCAGTGAAACCTGATTTCATCACGGCTTTACCAGGAGAGGTTGTTGACAAACGCGTAACCCGCAAGCAAGCATATGCCGACGACGGGCGCCGTCGCCACTAGAGGTATGGAAATCCTTTTGAAATAACTAGTAGGTTAGCCTCGTGTCGGGAGTGACGGGTAAGCAAACGTCGGGGCCTTATTCATGGCCAAAGCGCTAATGTGCAGCTGGGTTACAATGTATGTGAACGACGATGTAGTCTACTGCAACTCAACGCAAACTAAAGTTTCGTTATCCTTATAGGCTAGGTAGTAGTCTACCTTATTACGCTCAAAGAACCGCCAAGCACAGGACGCTGCCTTCCCGACTTAGCAACTTACTTATTTACTACGTTGGTTACTCTTAAGCTAATTGAAGATTGGCGTTGCGGGAAGCCTCTGGCAACACTCCCTGCATGGTTGCACTGCAACCTTATAAGCTTGCTTCTACACTATGGACGTCGGAGGATACGTATAGGAGTGAAAAGCGAACACCGAACCACCCATAACACGTCGTTGCGACCTGGCCCAGGTAGACCGGTCGTTAATTGTCATGTGCGCCTTGATAATTCCTGCCCAAAACGTGTATATTTGGTTTAGGGTTGTATCCATCAGCATGCTCGTGACTGTGGGGGAGTTCGTAACGAAAGGAGTGGCGTCGTGGGTTGCACCGACGACTCTAGCGTCAAGAGTGCAACACCTGCCCAGTCAACACTCCAATGACTCACCCCACTGTAACTCCCGCACAACGACCCAGCTCCCTCTCTCACCCATCCCTGCTTAACGCAACCCTTCACCCCGCCATCCTCCCCTCCCCGGGCAGGCTACCTCCGCCGCATGAGCTGCTGCCGCTGCTGAAGGCGGCCCGCTGCCATGAGCAGCCGCAGCGGCGGCGAGGGCGGTGACTGCCGGCCGGGGCCCTTCCCCGACCCCCACGCCTCGCCGCCCAGCCTGGCGGATGCCGGCGCGCTCCGGCTGCTGCAGGAGGACAGCCCCTTCGGCCCCGCGGGCTACACTCAGATCCCCCTCATGACGCCCGTGCTAGCGGACGCCAGCAGCAGCTTGTGAGCGGCGGGGAGGCGGCAGCAGGGGGGGCAGAGGGAAAGGATGCAGAGGGAGGGGCGCTGGTAGCTCAAACAGCAGGCTGTGGAGAGGGAGAGGGAAGGGCGTTGGCAGCTTAGATGCGCTGGGTGGTGTGGGGCGCATGTTGGGTGCCGCGCCGCTGCCGGCTTGCAGCGGGCATGCGTTGACATGAGCGGATGAGCTGCTGAAGTGAGGCAGAGGATGCTTCCCCTTTCCCCACCCTGCCCCCCTTTCCCCTGCTCCCCCTCCCTCTCCCTCGCCGCTCCGCACCCCCCCCCGCAGGGACCCCATGGAGGACTGGTATGGCGAGGCGCAGGAGGCCCTCATAGAGCGCTACCTCACTCTCATGGGACTGGCGCCGCGAGACTACCTGCCACCACCCGGCTCGCATGGCTCAGCAGCAGCAGCAGCGGCTGAGTCCGCACCCGCCTCCTCCGCCGCCGCGGCGCCTCCTGAAACCGCCCGCGGCGGCAGCGGCGACGGTGCCACCCATCCGCACCCTGCCTCCCACCCTCACCCGCACCCTCACCCGCACCCTCACCCGCACCCCCACCCCGCCAGCAGCCCCACCTCCGCCACCACACCCAGCAGCCTCAGCCTCAGCCACGGCACCAGCCTCACCAGCCCCGCCACCACCCCCACCACCGCCACCGCCCTGGTCAGCCCCACCCCGGAGGACCTCCGCCTGCCCCCCCTGCGCCGCCCCGCGCCCCCGCCCTCCCCCCACCCGGGTACCTCCCGCTCGCTGCAAACACTAGGGCTGGACGCCGCCACGCTGGCTGCCCGCTGCGTGCCGGGTCCGCTGATCCGCTCGCTGCACCGCTCCCTGGCGGCGCATGCGGCCGCGTTCTTCCGCTCCTGCCTGGCTGAGCGGCGGCGGCTGGCGGTGCTGGGCGGCGGGTCGGGGCGGGAGGTGCCGCTGGCTGACCGGCTGCTGGCCTTCATCACCGGGGTGGAGGGGCAGCTGGCGGTGAGGAGAGGAAGGAGGAGGGGAAAGTGAAATGAAATGTGAAGCAACGAGGAGGGGAGGGGAGGGGGTTGCCAGAGAGTTGGGTTGGTGGCCAGCGCAGCGTTGCTAGGGGGTCGAAAGGGCGGCTGGTCGGGTGGTCGGATGGGATGTGTTGCCCTGCTTTCGTCGCTTCTTCGTCTGCACTCCCCGCTCCGCAGCAGCCGACTGCCTACTGAGCGCTAACCTGGTTTCGCGCCTCCCCCAACCCGCTCCCACCCACTCACCAACCCCCACTCAGAGCGGCCATGCGCTGCCCGACATGGAGGAGCTGAGGAACCCCCGGGAGCTGCAGGTGGGGGGCAGATAGGGGCGTAGTAAGGGGAAACTAACGAGCTGTGTAGGGGGGAAGGGGGCGGGGCGAGTGGGCCGGGCGGGTGCGGAGTTGGCCATGCCCCAAGCTGTCTCTGGGCTGGGCGCCATGTGCGCGAATGGGCCCCCACGGCCCCCACCACGACGTGCTGCATCATGCTTTCCCCACGCCGCCCTCACCCCACCCCACTTAACCCCAACTCCGCTGTGGTTTTGGCATATAACCACCTCCCACCCCACCCCTCACCCCACCAGGCGCTGCTGGAGGTGGTTACCCCGGGCCGCCCCTCTGAGGGGCAGGCGCCCTTCCACCACGAGCTGGTCTACGTGCGGGAGCAGCAGCAGCGGCAGCAGCAGCAGCGGGAGAAGGAGGCGGAGGAGCGGGAAAAGAAGGAGCAGGATGAGGAGCATGCGGGGGAGGGGGGCGAGGGCAGGCCTGCTGTGCTGGCGGGTGTGTTGCTGGGTGGTGGTGCGGCAGAGGGGGAGCCGGACCTGGAGGCGCTCATGGACTTGGATAAGGTGGGGGAGGAGGGCGTGGGGAGGGGGAATGGGACAGCTTGGGAGGAGGGAGAGGGGGAAACGGCGGGGCAGGCTGGTGGGGCGTGGAGGCAGATTGGGTGCAGAGGGGATGTGGGGCCGGGTGGGGTGGGGTGGAGAGGGGATCACGGGCATCACGCTGGCGAGGGCGCTGGGTAGGGGGAGTTGCTCAGCGACGCCAGCAGCTCATGACACCCTCCTTGTCCTCGTCCTCCAGTGGCAGGCCTGGGTCTGGTAACGACACGACTCACATAGTGTAGCCTACTCATAGTGTGTCCCACCTAGTGTACCAACCACTCTTGCCCCACCTCCCTTCTCCGCCCCTTCCTCTCCTTCTCCTCTCCTCCTTGCTCCCCTCACACTGGGAATACCTCCATTCCCCGCCCCCCTTCCCAGATCACCTCCTTGGCCTCCGCGGGCAACGTGCCCGGCCTGCGCGCCCTGCTGCGCAGCCTGGTGGCGGCGCTGCACTACAGCCGCACCGCGCTCAAGCAGCGGCTGGCGGCGGAGGGGGAGCGGGCGCAGCGGGAGTGGGGGCGCGGAGCGGAGGCGAGGAGCGCCGCGCAGCGACTGAGGGCGCAGCTGGCGGACAGGAACAAGTGAGGGGGGGGGGCAGCGGGGGAAAGGGGAGAGGGATGATGCGGAAGAGGGGTTGTTAGAGGGTTGCCGCCCCTGTTCCTGCAACCATCGGTGCAGCCTCCCCCCTGTTGCGCCAGTCACGCACGTCAAGTTCCTCTCCCCTCCGCTGTCCAATCCAACCCCCACCCCCGCCTTCCCAACTGCAGGGCCCTAGCCGAGCGCGGTGCGGAGCTGGAGGCCGCCTGCCGCCGCGCCACCGCCGCTGAGGAGGCGCTGGTGACGGAGCGGGCCATCGTGGCGGGGCTGCGCGGGCAGCTGCGGGAGCTGACGGCGGAGTACGAGGAGCAGCACAGGAAGCTGAGGGTGGGGGCGGGGGGAGGGTGGGAGAGGGGCGGGGGCGGGTGGGGGGTTAAGGAGGAAAGAACTAACTGACCGTGTGATAAGGCGTCATCATTGGGGGGAGGGAGAGGGGGGCGGGGGGGTGGAGACATGTAGACGCTTGCTGGGTGAGGGTGTGGGTGGGGGTGGGATGGTTAGCGTGTCGGCTGTAGCGAGCGGTGCTTCCTGAGCAGTACGGCAGCCTCACGTTGACAACCACCACCGCAGGCCCGATGCTTCCCCTTTCCTTCCTTTCCTTCCTATTGCTAATACGGACTGTGCCCTTGTCCGGCGCCTGCGTGTTCGTAGGCTTTACTGAGCACATAACACCACTTCCGGTCCGCAGCCTGATTCCTCACCCTGGATCGGCTTCCCCCTCCTAACCCCAACCTACCCTAACCCCCCGCTGCCCCCCTCCTCCCCCCCCCTCTGCTGCCGCCCTCTCCCCCCCTTCAGGCGGGTCTGGAGGCTGAGGTGGTGGTGCCCGAGGTGGCCAAGGTGCATGCTTGGTGCAGGCGGGAGGGAGGGAGGAGGCAGGCGGAAGGGGGAGACAGGCAGCCGAGGGCAGCGACCCATGGGTCAGCCGAGCCGCCCGGTTGTACCTGCTGGCTGCTGCCACCGCTGCTCCTGAAGACTTCTATACTTCCCCCCTCCAGTTTGTTACAGATACGTAGCCCCATGTGACCCCTCCCCAACCCTCACACCCTCATAGCGACTCCCAACCCGCACCAGCACAGACCCCTGCATGCCACCTCACCATGCCACGTCTGCTGCCCTCCTAACACCCCCCCTTCCCTGCGAGCTGCTACCCACATCCTCCCGCATACTCCACACCGCTATAGGGCGGTCGCCGCCCAGACCCTCTCACCCCCACGCCTTCCCCCTCGCCTCCCTCCTCCCCTTCCCTGGTTTTCCTTCTTCTCCCCCCCCTCTAATGCGGAATATGTATCCCGGTTACCCCCACCCCCCAGTCCTCCCAGCCCGAGGAGGACAGCGACGACCCGCACGGCCTGCACCAGCTGGGCTGCGAGCTGGCCGCCGCGCGCTCCCAGCTGGCTCTTGCCGACCTGTCGCTGCAGCAGGAGCGCGCCACCTGCCGGCAGCTGCGGGTGATGCTGGACAGTGTGAGGGGGGCGGCGGCGCTGCATGAGGGGCGCGCGGCGGCGGCGGCGGCGGAGGTGGAGCGGCTGGGGAGGCTGGTGGCGGCGTCCCGGGATAAGGCCAATGCGTCGTCGGTGGGTTGGGTGGGGAGGGAGGGAGGTAGGAGGTGGGAAGGGGGAGGAATGTGGCTTGTTGATTGGTACCGGTAGTCCGAGGACGGGCGGAAGGGGCGACTGGCATGCCGTTGCTGTGATGTTGGCAGTTAGCCATGCACTGTTGCTCTCGGCGGGGCCCCTGTTTACCCTTTCCCTTCATCCCTCCACCCTCCCCCTTCCCTCCCCCCAGGGCGGTCTGGCGCTCCTGGAGCGGCAGCTGGCTGAGGAGCGGGCGGCACACCGGCGGACAACGGGTAGGGGGGAGGGGGGGAGGGAATAGAGAGGGCATACACATGCTGGGCAGTTGAGGGTGTATGGCAGGGGCGTGCCATGGCTCTACAGGTATGCGCATGTACTGTATAGCGTGTTGCGCGGCCACAGCAACTCGGTCCGCTGAGCTGCGCTGACCGCTGGCTCCCCGCCCCGGCTGCCCTGCCCCCCCTGTCCCCCCCTCCTTCCCCCCCATCCAGAGCGGCTCCAGGCGGTGGGGTGGAAGGTGGAGCAGGCGCGTACCGCGGTGGTGGACGTACGTGCGCGGGCGTCACATGGCATGCGGAGGCTGCAGGTGGGGGGGAAGGAGGAGGGATAAAAATAAAGAAACACTGACAAACTGGAGGAGGGAGGGGGCTTGTGGGTGGGTGGGTGGGAGGCTGTGGACGCAGGGGCAGGCTGGGCAGGCAGGGGTGGGCTGTAGTCAGGGTGCAGCAGCTCCAGGGTGCGACCTGCTGGCGGGTGAGCACCTCCTTCACCTTCACCCGTAAATCGGGCCACAATACCTCTTGCGGTGCCTCCATGTCCCTCACGCCCCCACCCCCCTCTCCCCCCAGACTGTGCTTGGCGACATGAACGTGCGCGCGCTCACCGCCGAGCGCAAGCACACGGAGGTGCGCGTGGAGCTGCTGCAGACCAAGAGCCTGCTGGAGATGACACACAGCAACTGGGAGGTAGGGGGGAAGGGGGGGTGGCGGAGGGGGGAGGGAGGGGGGAGGGTAAAGAGGAAACAACTAACTGACCGGGGGAGGGAGGGGGTGCGGAAGGGAGATGGCATTGCAACTGAGCCGCTAACGGGCGGGAGGGGGAGCAGCGAAGGAGGTTCGGCGGGACAAGGCTCGGGAGTGGAGACCCGCAGAAAGGGGAGATATCCTATAATTCCTATTGACCCTCGCGCCTGCCGCTCTTTTACACCCTCCACAACTCCCTCACCCCACCCAACCCCAAGACGCTCCGCGACCGCAATGACAGCCTGGAGGTGGAGATCGAGGGCCGGCGTGCGGCGGCTGTGGAGGCGCAGCAGCGGGAGCGGGAGGCGGCGGGGCAGCTGCGGGACACGCAGGCGGCGCTGCGGGCGGCGGAGGCGCGGGTGGAGCAGATGCAGCAGAAGGTGGGGGGAGGATGGGTGAGGTGGGGGAGAGGACGACGGGAGGGGGCGTGTGCAGGGCTCCCGTCACTGTTGTGGTGCTCTTCTACTCCCTGTTCCCCGCCTCCCCACGCGCGCTGCTGCTGCTGTTGGGGCCGCTTCCATGCAACCTGTTGCACCCCGGTACCCTTGGGTTCCCCCGACCTCCTCCTCCTTCCCGCCCCCTCTCCCCGCCCCCCACCTCCCAACCACGGCGTTTATCAATGTCACACAACACGTCGGGTACCCTTCTCCCCCCCCACCAAGGTTATGGCTGACGCCGAGCGGCTGCTGCTTGGCGAGGAGGCCATGGCGCGACTGGAGGTGCTGGAGAAGGTGGGGGGGAGGGGGAAGAGGGCGGGGGGGAGGCAAAGAGAGGAAACGGACGAGCTGTAGGACGAGTTGGGGAAGGGAGGGGAGGGGAGCGTAATGAGAAGTCCTTGTCATGGTGCAGTAATAAGAGGGAATGGCCCTTGAACGGGCAGTCGGCAGCCTTGTAATGCAGTCCTCGACACCTCCCCCCAGGGGTAGGTGCGTTCATTTTCCGCTTGGAACGCCAGCCCCCCAGTCTTGTGGCACCCTGTCGCCTCCTACCCCCATTGCTTTGCCCTAACCTGTTGTCTCCTATGGTTTGGTATGGTCTTTGAACCCCCAGGAGCATGCCGAGCTGCAGACCGCGCACGCCGCCCTGCAGCACTCCCACACGCAGCTGGGGGCGGCGCACGCGGGCCTGCAGGACGAGGCGGCGGCGCTGCGGCTGCGGGTGGCGGAGCTGCTGGTGCGGGAGGCGGAGCTGGGGGAGCTCAAGGTAAGGGGGGAGGGGAGGGGGGGAGGGGAGGAGGAGGGGGGAGGGGGAACTCAAGGTAGGGGGGGAGGGGGGGAGATTGAGGTAGGGGGGAAGGGGGGGAGGAGGTGGCAGGGGCGGTAGTGGATGGACTCGCGAGCTGGTTAGATTGAGAGGGGCGAGTCTCGCGCACGTTGGTTGCGCGTTAGGTTATCAACGTCCGCTGCCCTCATGCATGCAGGCAGAGGCGTGACGGCATCATCCCCTGCATGTGTGGTTCCTCCTTACCTCACACGTCACACGTCACCCCCCCCCTCATGCGGCTCAGCTTACGGTACCTAATCCCCTTCCCCCCAGGTGAAGCACGCGGCGCTGATGGACTCGCACCACACCCTGGAGAAGCAACACGCGGGGCTGATCAAGGTGGGGTGGGGCGGGGCGGGGCGGAGGGGGGTAACACTGGTTAGTAATAAGGGGGTGGGGAAGGATAGGGAGGGGGAGCGGATGGGCGGCACACGGGACCGGGGCGCCCGGCACATCCGGGTTCTGTTCTCCTACCTTCAGCGGCTGCCTGCCAGGCCCTTCAAAAGGCCCTCTCCGCAGCGAACTCGGCCCCCCTGCCTGCCTGATTGGGACTCGTTGTTTCACTTATTTAATTTTTTCCCACCTCTGTTGCCTCCTCTCCACCCCTGCCTCCTCCCCACCTCTACCTCCCCTTCCCATCCCAACCCCTCCCCCACCGCCCAGGTCAACGGCCAGCTGAGTGCCGAGCTGGCGGGCCTCAAGCGCCGCTCGGACGTGCTGGCGGAGCAGATCATGGAGCTGCGCGCGGCGGCGGAGCAGGCGGATCGGGACCTGGAGGCGGAGAAGGAGCTGCACAGGAGGACAAAGGTGGGGGGGGGGCGGAGGGAGGGAGGGAGGGGGGTGACGGCTACTGTTAGACGCCTGGATGCGTGCTTAATAGTAGTTTGCGCTCACTGCATGGGTCGGGACATGGAATTCGGACGCGTTTTTCCCTTTCCCTCCTCCTCCTCCCCTAACATACTTCCACCTGCCTCCCCCCCTTCCCCCCCAGGCCGAGCTGGACATCACCGGCGCCAACCTGACGGACATGTCCGGCCGGTGCGAGGAGATGGAGGAGCGGGTGGAGATCGTGAGTTGGGGGGCCGGGGTGGGGTGGGGGGATAAGGGGAGGGGGCTGGCCAGGAACGGGGGAATGGATGAGCGGGAGTGATGTGTGTGGGTCGGTCCCCTGCCTCCTTCCTGGGCGCTACCCGTGGGAGTGCGCACCCTGCGTTCTCCAGCATGCGCTTCTCCTCACTTCCCAACGCACCCCCTCCCTTCCTTCCCCCTCCCGCCCTGCCCCCCCTGCACCCCATGGTAAAGCCTTGTCGATAATTGCCTCGCCAGTTTCTTATTTTTTACCCCCCACTTCCCCGTTCACTTTTCATTTATTTTCTCCCCCCCCCCCCCCCCAGCTCTCCACCCGTCTCACCACCGCGCACGAGGACGCGGTGGCGTGCCGCCGCTCCGCCGAGCTGGCGGGGCAGCAGCGCGCGGAGGCGTTCGCCATGCGGGACGCGTGGAGCCGAGTGAGGCTGCTGCTCAGCTGCGATGTGCGGGTGAGAGGGGGTGGGGTGGGGGGTGGGGGTGAGGAAGGTGGGGGGGAGGGCTGGCGCGGGTACGTGTCTCTCATGGGGGGTGGGGGGACCGGCGCGTCTGCTTGTGCCTGCATGACACCCTGCGCCTGGCGGCTGTGTACGCACGGTAGACGGTACACCGCCGCCATGCAGATAGCTCCGCTGCGTCGTCAACCCCTCTCCCGCACATGCCGTACGTCCGTACACGCAGCACTTGCCGGTGTTGTCCTCTTCCTCTTCCCCCTACCTCAGCCCTCCCCTACCTTTCCCCTCCTTCCCACCTCCTCCCCTTCCCCCATCCCCCTCCCCCAGGAGTACCTAGCCTCCATCGAGGGGCAGGTGGGGCAGGTGGGGTGCTGCCTGGGTGAGCTGCGCGAGGGCATGGCGGCGCTGCAGGCGCGGCTGCTGGACCTGGCGCCGGGGGTGGTGGAGGGGACGGGGGTGGCGCTGCCGCTGGTGCCGTACAAGGACACGCAAAAGGTGGGGGGGGAGAGGGGGAGCTGGAGGGAAGGATTAGGGAGGAGGGAGGGAAGGTGGAGACCTGTTCGCGAGGTGCTGTGGGCGGAGGAGTTGGCAGGGGGTGCTTCCTTGAGCCAGGGATAAGGGAAGGGGCGCCGAGGCAGTATATCTGATGGCGGCCTGCCGTCGCGCTCCTTGGGGCCCTGACACTCCTCCCCCGTCCCCCACTGCCCTGCCCTGCCCTGCCGTACATGCATCCCTGCCGTACATGCAGATCTGCGACGCGCTGTTCAAGATCGCGTCCCACGGGTCGCAGCTGCTGCAGACGCAGGCCACCATCCGGCAGGCGCTGCTAGACAAGCTGGAGGTGCGCGGATAGCCTGGGGCAGCTGGGGGGCGGCTAGGTTGGGGCAAGGGATCTGAGAATGGTAGGGGGAGGTGCCTCTTAGCTCCCTGCTTCCCTGCCCCCCCCTGTTTGCATTGCCATGCCATCTCGTGGTTTAGGGACCGACGGCAGCAGCACGCCTTCGTTCCCCCCTAATCCCCGACCCCTGCATGCCCCCAAACTCCCTCTCCGCTTCTACACCCCCACCCCACCCCCACCCCCACCCCCACCCCCACCAGACCGTTGAGGAGGGCGTGAAGGAGCGGCTGGAGCAGGCCACCGACTACTGGCGCCAGGTGCTGGTGCTGTCCCGTGGGTCGCCCAAAGCCATGGTGCAGGTGAGAGGGGTGGGGTACGTGCGCCGTCTTGAAACTGCCACCTCGCCTTTACCCGCTCAGTGAATCGCCTTTACCCGCACCCACCCCTCTTCTATCGTATACAACCTAGTCTTACTCTTCCCCTCGCATCCCCCTCTTTCCCCCTTCCCCCAATCCCCCCCTCTCCCTCCCCCCCTGCCAGATGGTTGAGCGCATGACGGGTCAGGTGTGCGCGGAGCTGGACCTGGACCCGCTCAACCCGCTGTCGCGACTGGTGCCCATGGGGGTGCTGGAGGAGGCGGGGGTGCATGTGAGGCGCGGGGTGGGGGGGGGCGGGAGCATGGGGGGGAATGGGGGGCGAGTGGAGGAGGGAGGGGGAGTGGAGGGAGGGAGGGAGCATGGCTTTTCCCCTGGGGCGGGGAGAAGGCCTGCTTGAGCCATGAAGGTCCTGAATGGGCTTTGAGCGAGGAGGGCGCAAGGTATTGCTGGTTCCCCGATGCTACGGTATGCCTACAGTGATTTGTCCTCCCGCCCTGCCCTAACCCGCCCTGCCCCTTTCGCCCCTGCCCCCCCCCCTCCCCCTTCTCCCCCCCAGTTGGCCCGCCAGACTGAGAAGCTGGGCGGCCTCACCAACAGCACCGATCTGGCCCGGGCGCAAGGGGAGGCGGCGGCTCGGCTGCTGGAGTACGAGAGAGAGGTGGGGCGGGGGGGAGGGAGGGAAAAAAGAATACCAAACGTGTTGAATGTGAATGGGAGGGGGGAGGGGCTGGGAGGGGGCTGCCCGGGCGTGTGGCCGCCATCCTCTGTAGCGGAGAGCCACGACTTGAGGGCAGCCTTTCGGCTTCCTTGCCTGCATTGACTCGCCCTCCCTTCTGGTTTCTCTCACCCAACCCCGCCCTCCCTCCCTCCTGGGAGCTCGTTGTCTGCTTTGCATTCTCATTCAACACATTGGGAATTCTTCTTTTTGCCCCCCATCCCTCCCCCCCAGATGAACGACGCCCGCAGCGCCCAGTACCAGGCGCTGGTGGACGCGCTAGCCCGCGAGGTGCATCGGCTGCGGGGGCGGGTGGGCAGCCTGGAGGCCAACAACGCCATGCAGCAGCGAGCCACGCAGGACATGCAGCGCATGCTGTCGGATGCGGAGTGGAAGGTGGGGGGGGGTAGGTGAGGATGAAGAGGAGAGCGGACGGAAACGTCCCATAACTGAAGTCGTTGGTTGTTGGGTTTGTTGTTCTATACTCCCAGACATGCACCAGCCCAGAGCCCACCCTCTCACCAGCCCCACCTAACCCCCGCCCCCGCTCCCCGCCCCCCCGCCCCCAGGTGTCCAAGGCCCAGGAGCGCGAGGCGCTGGCGGGCATCCGCAATATGGTGCCGCTGGGCCGCGAGACGCGCGCGGTGCAGACGGTGTTCAGCGACCTCTTCGTGCTCACAGCGGGCAGCGGGGCAGGGGGCAGGGAGGCGACCGGGACTGGGAGCGGGGGACCCCTCTCGCCCGCCGCCACACCCCTGTCGCACCAGCACCAGCACCAGCAGCCCCGCAGTGCCGCCAAGCAACGCAAGCAGCAGCAGCAGCAGCGGAGGGGCACCTCTGAGGGGGCCGCTGGTGGTGGTGCTGCTGAGTCGGATGATGTGACCATCATCGGCGGCAGTGATGACGAGGTACCGCCGAGACCCATGTGTCACCCAGCTGACTCGGACGGCACCCCTGCCATGCAGGACCCCCTCTCCACCTCCGCCTCACTGCCTCCCCTCTCCGCCCTCAGCGCCTCCTCCTCCTCCTGCCAGCAGCAGCAGCAGCCCCCCACCTCCACCTCCTGGGCCGCCCCTTGCCCCTCCCCCCGCTCCTCCGCCCCCGCCTCCTCCTCCCAAGGCACCTACACCAGCCTACTCCGACGCTCCGGCAGCGGTATCACCTCCACCGCCCCCGCGCCCGCGCCAGCCCCCTCCCGCCCGCAATCCAACCTCTCCCGAGCCAGCAGCGCCCTACCTCACCACCACCAGCAGCAGCCACCACCACCTCCCTCCACCACACCCTCGCTCACCCTCTCCCCCTCGCCCTCATTCTCCCCCTCTCCCTCGCCTCCACCGCCGCCGCTGCCCCGATCGTCCTCTCCGGACGCGCACTCCCTACCCGCGGACAACACCCCAGAGCCCACCTCCGCCTCTTCCTCCGCACCACCTCAGCCCCACACAACCACCTCCATCCCCACCACCACCCAGCAGCAGCAGCAGCCCCCCTACCTGGCTCCCCCCTCCCAGCAGCTGCAGCGCCGACGCCACCCCGAGCAGCTCGCCACCACCCGCGCCAGTGCCGGCGGCTCGCTGCTCTCCTCCGTGCCCTCCCTCAGCTCCCTGCCCTCAGCAGCCTCAGTGGCGTCGGAGGGGCACCCGCCGGCGGGCGGAGGCGGCGGCGGCGGAGGTGGCGGAGGCGGCGTCAGGACGGGTCGCCGCGCCTTCCCCTCCGACAGCAGCGTCGCCGACGGGTCCGAGTCGTGCGGGAGTGAGGAGGAGTACGACGCGTCGCCGTCTCTGTCGCCGTCGCCGTCGCCGCCGATCGCGTTACGCACGCCGTCGACATCCGCCACTGCCAGTGCCGCCGCCGCATTCGTCGCCAGCGCCGCCGCTGCCGCCGCCGCCGCGCAGAAAAACGCCGCCGGCGGGCTGATTGCCAGTTTAGGCTACACGTTGCCCACTCGGCCCGCCACCGCCAGTTGTATCACCACCAGCAACCCCCCCGGCGGCAGCAGCTGCCCTCAGGTCCACCTGGCACCCCCCTACTCCGCCCTCGGCTCCAGACCCACCTCCCATACCCCCCCGCAATCCCCGCTGGTGCCTCACCACTCGCACCCTCACCCCCACCCTCATCCCCACCCCCACCCGCACGCCTCCCGGCCCGCGTCGCCCACCCCCGGGGTACCCGCCACCCCCTCGGGCATCCCGCACAGCTGGCAGCACACCCCCTGGGACTGGCTGCCCGAGGCGACCCAGCTGACCCGTGGGTCGGTCCCCTACAGCCGCCAGGCGCTGCTGGAGCTCATTGCCGACATCCACTTCACCAAGGGGCTACACGACCAGGTTGCCGCCGCCGCCGCCTTCCCCGCCACCTCCATGCAGCAGTACATCGGGGCTTACTTCGAGGCGCGGCACGGCCCCCGCGGTAGCTCCCCGCCGGTGGCGGAGCTGGCCCTGGCGCAGCTGCTGGTGTCGCTGGAGGTGAGGGAGGGGCGGGGGGGGGGTAGAAATAAGAAAAACAGTGCGGGGGGGCTGAGGGCTGGATGGGAAGGAAGAAGAAGAAGAGCACGTCTGCTCCTTTTCGGAGAGAGAAGAAGTTTTGCATGGGTTGCACTATCCTTGCATTATGGAATGCACTGCTTTGTGTGTCTGCCTTGATTTGCGCATATCCCCCCTCCTCCCTCCGCCGCCCCTGCGCCCCCCCCGCAGACCCACTCGGCGCTGTACGAGGTGATGCTGTTCGCGCGGGTGGCGGGGCTGCAGGCCTGGACCGCCAAGCCCACCCACCGGCACCACAGCGCCGCCGCCTCCCGCCCCGCCACCGCCCGCTGCTCCCTCTCCCTGCCTCTAGGCAGCAACTCCCCCGCAGCCGGCGCCGGCGCCTTCGCCCGCCCGCGCACCTCCCGCCCCGCCCTGCACTCCAGCTCGCCCTACGCCACGCTGCCACCAACCGCCAACCGCTCAACCGCCGCAACCGCCGCCGGCCTGGGCTCCGCCGCCGCCGCTGCCCTGTGCTCCGCCGCTCGCAGCAGCGGCCGAGTCATGTCGGCTCGCGTGGGCAGTGCTCTGGGGGGGCTGAGCGGGGTAGGGGTAGGGGTAGGGCCCGGGACCTCCCCCATGCTAGGCCTGGTGCCCTCCTCCTCCCTGGCGCAGACGCCCTCCCTGGACGGCTGCGACCCCGCCTCCTCCCCCACCGCGGGGGAAACCACCATGCGGCTGCGCACCGGCCTCTCCCCCGCCATCTCCTGCTCCTCGCCCTCGCAGCACCAACCCGCCGGCCACATCTACAGCGCCCGCAAGCGCGCCGCCAGCACCCCCGCAGCGCCGCCGCCGCCGCTGCCGGTGCCTCCCGCGCCCGCCCCGCCTCCCGCCACCCCTAAGCTGCAGCTGCGGGTGCGGCCCGAGGTGCTGGTGTCGGAGCACTTGGGCGGGCTGCTGGGGCGGCTGGGGGAGGTGCCTGGCATGGAGTCACTGGCGCAGATCATCTGCACCGGGCGCCTGGCGGCACGGTTGAGGCCCGCGGACCTGGGGCAGCAGCTGGTGGAGGAGCAGGTGGGGGGGGCGGGAGTGTGGCGGTTGCTGCCTGCATTCAGAGCCTATTCCATATTGCATGCCCCCTTTCTTATTGTCGTGTTATGGGTGTTGTTCGTTGTTCATGCATGCGCCACCTGGGGTGTAATCCGCCACTCCTCCTCCCTGGGCCCCCTCCTCACGCGCTCCTCCTCCCAACCGCCCCCCATGCAGCACCCGGAGCTCTACTTCACGGTTCACCGGCTGTGCGGCGCGCTGGGGCTGCAGGAGCCGCCCGAGCTGCTGCTGCGGGACAGCCTGCCGTACGGCTACGACTGCATGCTGCTACAGGTAACTGCTGCTGCTGCTACTGCTGCGAAGGAGGGAGGGGGCTGCGGCCGGTTGACTTTGCCAGGTGCCCGCTTGCGGTTACATGCGCGTAATGAGACTTGCATGCATGAGCAATGGCAAAAAAAAGGAACTTGTCGGCGTTAACTCCTTTCCTTCATCGCCTTAGCTCTTTCCCCGGCTTGCTTCCCGCGCCTACCATCACCCCATCATCTCGCACCCCACACCGCTCCCCGCAGCTGCCCAACGTGGGCACGGGCTCGCTGGGGCTGCTGGCGGGGGATGTGGACCGACCGCCCACCGCGGGGGGCAACGCCTGCTCCGTCACAGCGGGCGGCTGGCGGCGCCGCGGGGTGCTGCTGCTGTCGCCGGCGCTGGTGCAGGCGTGCGCCAAGGGCGCGGCGGGGGCGGCTGGCGGTGCTGCCCCAGGCGGTGGTGGTGGTGCTGCTGCTGCTGAGCCGGAGGAGCTGCGGGCGCTGCTGGCTGCCGCCATGACGCCCCTGGCCATGCCGGGTAGGGCGGGGGGCCCCGCGGGGGGGGGGGGTTTGCTAGTCGGCGGTGTGGGTGCTTAACTGTGCCGTGAGGGCACTGATGGTGGTGTTGCTGCCTATGCTTTGAAGATCCTACGTTCATCGTCGCTTCGGGTGCATTTGCAGGTGGTTTGGGCTGGCGCCTGGACGTGCAAGCGGGCAGTGCGGCTGCCAGCAATGCGGCCGCTGGGGGAGCTGCAGCAGCAGGCGGGGCCGGCGGCTGCCCGGCTGGCAGCGGCGGTGCAGCCGGTGCCGCCCCCACGCTGCTGAGCGCCGCTGAGGTGGTGACGGCGGTCAACATCGCCGCGCTCAAGCCTCGAGCGGTGCAGGCGGCACTACCTAGCCAGCTGCAGGTGAGAGAGGGAGAGTGCCCACGGGGTCTGAGCTGAGCTGTGCGTTCCTTTCAACTACAGCATGGACCCTGGTGGTGACACAGGCTACATCGGGCAAGCTTTCTCGCCGTGCTCGCGTGCCTGAGAGGTCTGCTGTTTTTCGTAAACTGTGTGCAGGTCAAGTGGGATCGGTTGCTGGGGCATCTGCGGCTGGTGGCGGCAGCAGCCACTGCAAGCGCCGACCGGGGTGCGCTGCTGGCTGTGCAGGGCGTGGCCCCCGCCGTGCGGGCGGTGTATCGCGCAGCTGCAGGAGTCAGTCTGGCGGACAGCAACGCTGGAGTTCAGCTGGGGACGGGCGAGGAGCTGCTGATGCAGGTAGGATGGTCGGAGGTGTATGAAATGCAAGCTGCTTCATACCTGCGCGTGTTTGTATGCTAGAGAGTAACACACCTACCGACCCTGCAGGCACAAGCCTTGCCGTATACGCATGAGGAGTTGACGACTATGGCATCCGTTAGCATGCACGACGCTGCTTTCGGTGGTGTGGAGACTAGAAGAGGCCATGCCCTGGCACGAGTAGCGTTGCTAGCGCGATGGTGCGAAGCCCCCGAGTACAGGTACGGGGGAACAGATACACTCCGACACGAACACACGTGCTCGGGTATGGGAATGCAACATGCGGACTTCTGTTTGTTGAGTTCGCCATCAAGCTCATTCGTTGTGTTTATTAAGAGCTTACGACCCTTGTTTTCCTCCCCCATGCCATGCTTACGCGCAGGCAACTATTGCGCTCGTCTGTCAAATCCAGCTATGCGCCGCAAGGGTGACTTGGAAATACATGGACGGACGTTACGGACACGTGTGTGCGATGTGTTCGGCGAATCCTCATGTAATGAGTTGAGCTCTGTGCTGACCAGTTCTGCTAGGAGCAGTAAGCGTTGCGATGGGCACACGAACTGAACCAGTTATTTTACACTGAAGCAAGACCTCAGAATGAGGTTTGCCCTCATTATACTGATAGCCCGTTCACACGCATGGACGGTGGCCTGATTGCCACTTGCAGCAGCTTGAAGCTGCCTATTCCGCCATGTAACAAACTCTACAACCAGCTATCTGATAGCTGTCCTTATTATGGTAGTCACATAAGCCAGGAGCGCTGTTACACCTCGAGGTGGGCAGCAAGGGCGCGGGGACGAAGTTTACCGCTGCGCCTCCTTGAACAGGCAAATGTAGGCGCCATAGAGGCTGCCAGCGGTCAGCAGGACCGTCTGCACCTTCACTGTCCCCTGACGGAAGAAGTAGTTGTACCTGCGGAAGGTGCGGAAAACAAGGGAAGTCAGTAAGGAGACCAAGATACTTGCGAACGCACTAAGTCTGCAACGGAAGTCTTTAAAATCGAACTCGCGAGAAAGAAGGCGCCAAGTCTGCTTCGGCTTGCGTCCTGACCGCCATCACGCCGCAACCAAGGCGTCACTCACTTCGGGTTCGTCAGGTCGTGCCACTTGTAGCCCTCAGCCGCAGCCTTCTACAAAAGGTAAAGAAAGAGAGGGCTTGGTCAAAAGCCGGCCCGAGCTATACTTTAAGCAGGGAATGTGGCTCTCCGGGACTTACCAGGATGCGAGACGGGAACATCCTGCCAGACTTTGTTCAGCAAAATGGGCTATGACAGTGAATAGAACGGAGGCACATTTTTCTGTTGGGCCTAAAGCTCTATATCGGGTCCCAGCTGCTGTACGGACAGGATGCAGGACAGTATGTCTTCTGGAGATGATGGTCCAAAATACCTTTGGTAAAACGTATTTATGACTGTTACCGGTACATCTTATTCTGCAAGTGCGAAGGGATGAACCGGCATTTTCCAGGGGGGTGGCTTTCCAATTTGGCTGTAGTAACTGAAATTGCAACTTGGAACACAGGCTTCCTGCCATTGGAAAAGACCCCACTGATATAGAGTTCCCCTGCCTGGCGCTGCAAGGGCCCAGGGTTTTTCATGTCGCTAACCAGTTCCACTTCACCCTCCGCGCCTCACCACGGCGTCCACCTTAGCGGTAAGGGACTATACACTAGGAGCGTGCGGGTAGTTGTTGTACCGCAACAGTGCGCCACCACCTTTCCCTTGGCAATCCGAGCTGACCCGAATCCAAAATTGTGTTCGCTTGGCCCTTATCACCAGGATCACCCCTCGCGCGGCACCGCCTGCAGAAGTGCCCCCTTAGACCCCCTCATCCCGAGCCCTTATCGCCCGCTGCTGTCGGCATGTGGCCTCTGGGCTCTAAGTCGAAGAAATCCTCGCGGCATTGGCTGAGCTGGGCAGTGCCGCAGGCAGCGGGCAAGCCAGGTGCTGGGCACAGTCCCGAACGACGGGGTATGTGGGGGAACCAAACATCGCATGTGGGTTCGCTTTCTTACGACCACGGAGCTAGGGCGGTCCTGTTGCAGGCCGCTCAATTCCAACGTTCCAGCAGCCACTCACGCACCCCCTCTCTCACCTATGTAAGGCCCCACCATGCAGCCGACCTCCTTACCCCCCCTTTTGGAATTTCTTCCCCCCCACTTTTGCTTTTTGTGGTTTCATGTGGTTTGGTCTAATGTGATCACCCTTCCTTCCCCACCTCTGGGATGCCCCCCAGGTGAGGACGACAGCTTCGTCATCACCGCCTCCGCCCTCGCGCCCGCCCTCGCCTCCTCCGCCCCCATGGCTGCCTCCTCCTCCTCCACCACCGCCTCCCAATCCGCCGGCCTGCACCACTTCCACCCGCATCACACCCACCATCCGCACCCGCACCACCCCCACCCGCACACGCATGCCGCCTCCGCTGCGGCCTCCCTCCTGTCCGGCCCGTCTGACGAGCTGCTGTCGCCGCGGCCTACCTCCCTGGCTCCCCGGATGCCGTACCAGCGGTTAGCTGGCTCGTCCAACGCTGCCAGCGCTGCGGTGAGGCGGGGGGGGGTCCTGAGCGCTGCTGTGCTTGCGGGAGCTGGGGCGAGGGAGAACCTTTGGCGGCGTGAAACCGGTATCGACTTCCGCGAGCCTCTTGGGCGCGCATGCAAATTCACTGGTAGTCCCTTGCTAGTGCGCGACAGGCGGCGTTTCCTAGCCGTGCTTTAACTCAGTCCTGCTGTTCCCCACACCACCCCTTTCGCCCTCACTTTCCACAGCCCTCCTCCGGTGGTGCTGGAGTAGTTACCAGCCAGCCGCCCGTCTCCTCCCTTGATGGCAACGACTTGGCGCTGTCTGCTGCTGCCGCTGCTGCTGCCGCGCGGCGCAGTGCGCTGTGTGAGGGTGGGCTGCCTGATCCCGACATGTGCGGGCTGGGGGAGCTGCCCGCGGGGCGGCTGGGGGAGGGCGGGGCGCCACATGCGACAGTGGTGGCGGGGGGAGCGGGCAGCGGGGCGGGGCTGGCGGGATCGGTGGTGGATGAGGCGTTCAACAGGTGGGCTGAGGGGCGGGGAGGAGGAGGGTGTGAAGGAAAGGGAGCGGGAAACGATGCTGGGGTGTGATGTGAGAGTGGCGCTTGGGCGCTGACGCTCGCTTGTTGTTGTTGCTGCTGCTGCTGCTGCTGCTGTCCCTCACATCCCTCCCTGCATGCGTGCTGCTGCCGCAGGGGCCGGTGGCTGCTGGGGCTGCTGATCGTGCAGTCCACCTCCTCATTCGTGCTGGATGCATACCAGGTGGGGTGGAGGGGTGGGGAGGAGGGGTTGCTGACTTGCGGTTCGTTCGGTTGGTTTCCTTCCTGACCCCCTTTCCCGCCCTGCCCCCCTGCCCCCCCTGCTTCCCCTCCCAGGACCTGCTCCGCGAGCACCTGGTTGTGACGCTGTTCCTGACCATGCTGGTGGGGGCGGGCGGCAACGCGGGCAACCAGTCGGCCATCAAGATCATCAGGGGGCTGGTGGGTGGGGGGGCGGGCGGGCCGGGCGGGATGGAGGGGAAAATATTTGAGGAGTGAAGCATTGGGTCGGAGCAGAGGGCATCTGAAGGAGGAGGAGCAGCGAGAGATTGGGGTTGCTTGCTGGGTCTGGAATATGGACCTTCCTTACGGGTCTTTGCGCAGAAGTTGTCCATACACCTGTGTGATCATGCACACGCCGGAGGCCCTTACCACCTCTCTCCAACAAGCTCGCCCCCTCCCTCCCTCCCTCCCCCTCCCTACCCCCCCACCCACCCTACCAGGCCACGGGTGCACTACGCCCCAGCTGGCCCTCCGCCCGCACCGCCCTCCGCCAGCAAGCCGGCGTGGGTCTGCTCCTAGGCACTGGCCTGGCGGCCGGCGGCTTCATCCGCGTGCTGGCCACCCACGGCGACGTCGCCAACGCGGCCGCCATCTCCGCCTCGCTGCTGCTGATCGTGCTGACCAGCGTGCTACTGGGGACGGGGCTGCCCTTCGCGCTGGCTCGCGCGGGGGTGGACCCTGCCAACGCGGGTACCAGCATCCAGGTGTTGATGGACATCCTCGGGGTGGGCATCACGTGTGTCACGTGTCACCTGGTGCTGGTGCAGCTGGCGGCGGGGGTGGCGGGAGCGGGGGCGGGGGCGGGGATATGAAGGGGGGGATGGGAGGGGCGGTTAACAGCAGGAGATGTAGAGACCGGTGCAGACGGGATGTTTACCACTTTCCCATGGTCGATGGACGCGGCGTGCGTTTGCGGAAGAGGCGCAGGTGGTTAGGTAGGCGCAGACGTGCGAGGAGGAATGCTGCGGTTAGGACGCGACGGTTATGGTTAGCGTTACTGGAGGCGGCGGTTAGCATTACAATGTTACAAGTTTGGAAGCTACAGCTGTACAGTACGTGTGGTGGTGTACATAGATGTCGGGCGGAACAGCGAGACCACCGGGTGCCCCACTGCGCCTAGCACTGTTAGGTAGAGATGACATTACTCGGTTGCGTTGCCTTGGCTCTCGGACTTGGCCTTGGCTCTCGGAAGTTGAGATGGGCTGATGCTCCCGACTATAGCCAGGCATGGGGAGTGGCCATGTGCCCGAGGCTCATCCGTGGGCTGCGCAGCTGGTTGTGCGAGGTCGGGGTGTGAGAGGCTGGCAGAGCGGCGAGGAAGTGTGATGAGTTGGTTAGTCTGAGAGTTGGAGAGGAGTGAGTTGGAGAGAGATGGAGGGGTGAGTTGTAGTGCGTGCGTGGGGCAGCTGCAGTGCAGTTGTGGATGGCCCTGGGAAGGAGAGTGAGAGTGCGGGGTTAAGGAACGATTTGGTCTTTTTATGGATGGACCCGTCAATGGATGTCACTGGACCCGTGTTGTGTGAACTGGGTCTGCAAACGCGCAGCAACTGGTGGCAACCCGGTTCGGCCTTACAAGATCTGTATGGCAGCATGTCAGTGTGTCCTTTCCTGAGATGTACCCAATCGCGACAAGTTGGCGGTTGTTGCTGCCCGTACCGGTATACGGCAAGTCCCAGAACAATAGAAGGCTCGGCTGGGGAGTATACGGTAGCGCTCTCCCTTCGACAGGCCACCGGAGCAAGTAGAGGATGCACTTTTACATGCGAGTCATTGCGAGGCACAGCCCCCCTAAGAGCCCTATGTAGAGGGAAGAATGGAATCACGCAAAGTCTCTCCCATGAATGCGCAGTCGCGTGGCTGGTTCACTGGCCTCAGGGAAACACAAACCGTCTCAAAACGTCCAGCCTCCCTCAAATCACCAATCCATTCACCCAAAGCACGCAGAAAGTCCCAATCCATCCTTCAAGTCACGGGGTGCCGTACCGCCCCCCCAGGTACACGTCTGGCAATGTAGCCAGTGGGGGGAGGGGTACGGCGGCGTGCGGGGTACGGCATCTCAGCCGTGACGACACGCATACACACACGCGGCCAATTCCGACTCGCGGCCAGTTTTCTTAACACACGCTGATAACAAATACCTCCTAACCCTGCTCTTCTCGCTCATCATGACAATTGAAACAGGAGGGATGTTTAATCCCGTCGTCACTAAGTCCAATCGTGTAAACCACGTCTCCACACCCACATACCAGTACACCATGACACCACATGTACGGTCCAGGAAGGCACATCAGTCCAGTTGTTGGAGCGGAATCGCGTCCCCATGTACACAGTTCGTCGCCTGAGAAACAGTCCGTCTTGCCATCATGGTCAAAACACTTCGTCGCAAGGACAAAAAAGGAAACCCCCCGCAGGAGTACGAAAAGAGCTACAGTGCAGTCCAGTCCAGCCTGTCAGTCGGGTCGGGTCGCAGGTGATCAGGTCTTTTGAGTGAGAGCGGGCCTACAGATGCGATGTGGGTTGTGCGCAATGCGGTTGTGTAGGGTTTGCGTGTCATGTGCTGCTGTCAGGATAAAAAGAAGCACAGGGTGTAAGCAACAATACACCGAATGAGCTGCACACACGCACACACAAACCCAGTTGGTATAACACACGGGATGGCCCCATGCGCCTATTGACCCGGCCTTCAGGGGAGGAGACAGCAGCAGCACCCCGCAGTGGCACGAGCCAACCGCAGCAGCCAGCAGCAGCGACCTCCTAGCAGCTGCCCTCCGTCACGGCTTACACCACCCACCCCTCTGACCACCCCTCCCACGGGTAACACCGGGCCTCCACACCCCCCTTCAGCCCCTATGTACCGCACCTACATACCGTATCTACACATGTTCCGCACCCCCACTTATTTACTATCACCACCACCCTACCACCACCACCCTCCCCACCACCCAGTAATCACTTTCCCCCTCGTTACCCCCTCCCCCTCCCCCGCGCTTTCCTCCGCTCCACTTGGAAACCCCTTGCCAGTCTCCTCCTCCCCTCGCGCGCTACTCGAAGAAGTAGGACATCCCTTGACAATCTCCTCCTCCTCCTCTCGTGCTACTCCACTACTTGAAGAAATAGGACACCTCTTCGGCCTCCGCCTCCCCTTCCCCTACTTGAAGAAGTAGGCCAGTGCGATGAGCACGTACAGCGCGATCAGCTGCACACCCAGCAGCCAGTGCGAGGTGGCGCCCGCGGTCACGAAGTTGGATTGCGCCACGGACAGCATGAGCGCCAGGGCGGAGAAGGGGTCGAAGTCGAGGGTGAAGGGGTGGCCTGTGGGGTGGGGCAGGAGGGGAGGAGGGAGGGGTTGCGGAAAGGGAAGGAAGGGGTTGCGGGAAGCAGAAGCCAGGGACAGCGGGGTGATTTATCCGCCACGGCACAACTTCGAGTCCACAGCAGGCACCTGCTGCCTGCTGGCGAGCTGCGGACCATTCCACGCATGCGGACCAACACCCATGCAACTGCCTGCCCGGCAGCCTGCCCAGCCCGCTTACCCTGCTGGTCCTGCCCCACCCCCCTCCCTGCGCGCAGCACGCCCCACATGTCGCCTGTCCCCACCTCACCTGTCGCCCAGCCCACCACCACCGCCAGCGGCACCGCGAAGAGGGCCACTTGGATGGAGGAGCCCACCGCCACACCCATGGAGCTGCGGGGGGGAGGGGAGGGGGAGGGGGGAGGGAGGGGGGGGGAGTTGTTGGGGAAACATGTAACCGCATTAGGCTGGGTGGTTGGGCTAGCTTAGGGGAGGGGAGGGTGAGGGAGGAGGAGGTCAACCAGGTGTGTAATTCAAACTACCACCGGTAGGACGACCGGCCGGCTGTACGCGAAGCAGCAGCGGCAGCAGCAGGAAGAGGAGGCGGCCGCGGAGGACGGTCAGCTCACTCGCCCGGTGCGTCTGTGGGGCCCTGTGTGCTGCCGGGCTGTACCGCCCCTCCGCCTCCTCCCACTGCCCCTCCTTTCTCCGTCCCGCTTGTCCCCCGGCCTTGTTCCATTTACGCCCTCCGTCCTCACCCCCGTCTTTTCCTGCCGCAACCCCTCCCGCTGCCTCCTCCCCCTGGCCCCTGTGGTTTCCTAAGGGCTGGTATGGTCCCCCCTCCCCCCCCGCCCCCCCTCCCCTCTCACAGGTCCATCTTGTTCTTTGTGGCCACGATGACTGCCGTCATGTGCTCGCACGCGTTACCCGCGATGGGCAGCACGATGGTGCCCAGGAAGGCCTCACCCAGGCCGGAACTGCATGCATGGGGGGGGGCAGGGAGGGAGGGGGAGTCAGGTAAACTGAGAGGGCATTCGAGGGGCAAAGAGAAAGACCAAACCATAGGAAACCACGAAAAAGGTGAGTAACCTAATAAGAGGGGAGTGCACTTAACCAGGGGCCGTGCCGCCGCCGCTGATGTTTTCCACCCGCCCCGCCTGCCCTAGGAGTCGCCACGCTCTCCCCCCCTTTACACCTCCCTCTGGCCCCGGCCCTCCCGGCCCTTAACCCCAGCCGCCCACCTCTTGCTGAACTCCTCCAGAGATGAGGTCAGGAATCTGCAATGAGGCGGGTGGGGGGTGGGGGTGGGGGTGGGGGGCAGCAGGGGGCCAGTGAGGCGAGGGTGAGGTCAGCGCAGCCCAGTCCAACACAGCCCAACAGGACACATCACATCACAGCCCAGCCCCACAGGACGCAGAGTCGCGCCTTGCCTGCCCGCATGCGCCTCCGCATCCTCCCCTCCCTGCCCCCCTCCACATCTCCGTTGCTTCACTGTTCCTCCCTCTCCCCTTCCCTCCCCACCCACCCCCCACTCACTCCGACGCCACCGCCACCAGCAGTGTGATCACCGTCAGCAGCCCCAGGGACGTCACCAGGCTCAGCATGGGCTGCTGAGCCTCACCGCCGCCACCCCCGGGCAGCGGGACACGGCACTCGTCCTCGTCGTCATCACCGTCGTCGTCCCCGTCCTGGAGTTCGGGGGGTTGGGGTGGCAATACGTAAGTGAGAAGTGAGAAGAGAGGGGTTGGGAAGGTGAAGAAGGTTGAGGTCCAGATATACCAGACGCGCCTCCTCTTGTAAGTCCTCTCTAGTCCTAGCCCTCTCCCGCCCGCCCTCCCTCCCTCCCCCCCCCTCCCCCCCCCCCCCTCCCCCTCCCCCTCCCCCCCCCGCCCACCTCGAACAGGTCGGTGTGCGTGTAGAGCTGGAAGCCCAGGTAGCAGCCGTAGCTGGGGGTGGGGGGGTGGGGGGGAGGGGTGGTGGTAGTGGGAGGGAGTTAAGGCAGGCAGCGAGAGGAGGATAAGGATTACGAGGATGCGATGCTGTGCCGACCTGGCCAGCCGGAAGAGTGGGTAAAGCCATGCGATGACACAGCGCCGGTCAGGGAGGGCAGTGCAGACCGCATGTGGGTTCGTAGTACGCTGCGGGGCAGCTCAACTGCCCTTCCTCACACCACTCCCCGCCCACCCTCCCCGCCCTGCCCTGCCCTCGTCTGTTCCCTGCTTTTTTTCTCCCCTCCCCTATCCCACATTGGGTCTCCTTCTTCCCCTGCCCCTCCCCGCCCCCCCCCCACCCTCACCACAGCAGCAGCACCACCGCGGTGCCCCGGCTGATGCCCAGCACCACCTCCTCCGCGTTGCCGTCGCGCCCGCCGCCGAACAGCAGCGAGGCGCCGGTGGGGATCAGGAAGCCCAGCGCGGCCAGGAACAGCAGGGAACTGGGAGGGGGGTTGGGGGAGGAGAGAGGGAAACGGGGAGGGGAAAAGGGACCTTAGAAAGGAGGGATGCGTTCAGCGCTCCAGGCTGCCCTGCTTTGCAAGGAGCTTTGCAAGGGGAAGGAAGAAGGTGGGGCATGCCGCCTTTCACCCCCGCACAGCCTCCCCAAAGCAGCGGCTCGTTCCCACCCGGCCCCCTTCACCCTGACGCACCCTGACGCCTGGTTGCCGGTTGCGTTGAACTTCTGCGTCTTGTTGAAGAGGCCACCGAAGAAGAAGCTGCAGCCTAGGGAGTGGGTGGGTGGAGGTGCGAGGAGGTAGAGGAGGAAAAAAATATATAAGTGAAACAACGAGTCCCAATCCCATATGATTGGAGGAGGTAGGGGAGGAGGGTACGAGAGGAAATATGCATGTGTTAAGAAAACTGGCTGCGAGTAGGAACGTGTGTGTGTATGTGCTGCTTGCGGCCAGGGGTCCGCCCTTTCCACCCCCGCCCGCCCATTGTCTGGCTGTCCACCTGGCCGTGCTCGCACCCGCACCCGCCCTCCCACCCTTCCTCCCCCTCCCTTCATCCACACCATTACCAGCACTGTCTTCTTCCCCCTCCTCTCCCCTTACCTAATTATACGGTTCGCGAGCCTCTTCCTCTTCACTCCTGTCCGCCCCCCTCCCCCTTCCGCTTCCTATCCCCATTGTTTTGCCCCAGCGTTTCCTATGGTTCGGCATGGTCTTTGACCCCTCCCCCCCCCAATCCTACCCGTCACCAGCAGCAGGTTGGACAGGATGGATCCCAGCAGCGAGGCCGCCACCACGCCGTACAGCCCGTTGAGCAGCGCCGCGATGGACAGCATGATCTCCACGATGTTGCCAAAGGTGGCCTGGTGCAGGGGTGGGGGAGGGGGGTGGAGGGGGGACTTGGCTCACTCGGCAAGGGGGAGGAAGTCGGTGCTCTCTTTCCAGCAGGGAGGCGCTCTGCAAAGCCCATGCGACCCAAATCAGCATCCCAGCCGTCTCCGTCCGTCCAACCACCACAAAAGCCCATCCCTCCCTCCTTCCCCCTCGCCCGCCAGCATCATTCAACACATTGGGTATTCGTCTGTTCCCCCCTGCCTCCCCCCCTTGCTCCTCACATTGATGAGTCCGCCCACCACGCTGCCGTACCGCAGCGCCAGGTCCTCCGTCACGTCGCCCAGCACCAGCGCCAGCGGGATGAGGGCCAGGAAGTTCTGGGGGAGAGGGGGGGAGTGCTCTTTGTAGTGGTGTGTGGCAGGTAGAATGGGGCGGCAGCTAGGAGGGGGGTAGGCAGCCAGGCGAGGGAGAGCAATCCGCGAGGGAGGGGGTCGCCAGCCTCCTTCACTCCTCGGGCTACACAGGCTTTGATCTGGGTCGCTCGGCTTCTAAATTGATCTGGGTCGCTCGGCTCCTAAATTGATCTGGTTCGCTCGGCTCCTAAATTGATCTGGGTCGCTCGGCTCCTGCTTAGATCTGGGTCGCTCCGCTCCTGCTTTCACTTGGGTCACTCGGCTCCTGCTCGCACCCGCATGCAGGTGCGCGCAGGCGGGCGGGCAGCAGCCCCCTCCACCCGCTACCCCGCACGTTAGCCCGCCCCCACCCACCTGTCTCCTTCCTTCCTTCCTTTTCACCCACCCATCCATCTCCACCCAGCCATGTCACAACACAGAGCAGCGGCCCGATGCGGAGGTGCAGCGACCCCCGAGGATGCATGGACTGCCACTGCGCTGACCCACGCTTCAGGCTTCTCGCATCCACGCTTAACCTTCGAAATAGTACCCGTACCGGACGATGCGAAACTCCAAATCTAGCTTATACTCAACATTCTTCAACATCATTATTCAGATTGTTACAAGCGTCTGCTTACCAGTGTAAAAACGTAGGCTGCGCTCCACTTCAATGCTCCAGCCGTGAGGCCCAAGGGTACGGCTATTAACAAAACGTTGACCCAGTTGCCTAGGATTTCTTTTAGGGCATAAGCGTCGCTCCGCCACCACCGGATCGGCACACGCCGCATTGTGAGGGAGCGATTGGCAGCGAATATGGCTCGGCGGGCGGCTGCCTCAGCAGCAGCAGGACCGTTGGACGTGACATGGGGCCCAGACGCGATAAGCGCCTCGGTATCTGTGAAGTCAATACACGTGGACGGGAAAAAGCGATTGATTAAGGCGAGCTCTTGGCATGGTCATACATGCGGCGGCAGCGGACCGTCGCGCCTGGGACTTTTAGACCAGAAAGTGTTACTAACCCGTGCGATCATCAGAATCCTCCAAATCCTGCCGCTTAGCAGCTTGGACCTCTGCTCGTGTTGCTCCACGGAGAACCTTAAAAGCCTGGGTCCTATCCTGCATTCCTAGATTTATATGGGTTAAAAGATAATATAAAGACAAGTGTTCCCCTAAAGGCGACTTTCAAGGATGGAGTCCTCGCTGCGTGTTGCTGACGGGTCAACAACGACACCCAAATAACACTATGGCCGGAACAGTGAAGGACTCTATGTTGCATAAAATCATCGCAAGAGAGTATAATGCTGAACTTCTGTCGACGACTGAAGGTCAACCCGAAACCGTTTCCGCACGATGCGGCTGGATCCAGGTAGCGGAAACGCCGCAGGCAGCAGTTGCAATACAGATAAGTAGAGCTATAAGTATTATACGTTTATGTTTGCGCAGCCATGACCGAAGATGTGTGCTGGGCCCAGTCACTAACGCCCTAGTTGCGAAGTGGGACGTTGTTAGGCCTCGCTGGGCCCAAAAAAGTCCCCTACGAAGCTGCAGAGCATTCCAGTAAAAAGGGACTACGAAGGCCAGTTCATACTCTAAACAACCTTTGGCATGTTTACGCGTCCTGCCTACCAGTACCCATACCGGTTAACCCTCCCCCGGAATGGATACACCAGCTTAAACCTGTATACATTGGCACCTAGTTGTTGTCCGTGTTGCCATATTGTTGTGCCGCGGACTGTGTTGGGCACTTTCCCCGACATGGCATGATGGGCTTGTAGCTAAAGGGCCTACCCAAGATTATGCGCATGACCCACTTCAGGCAACTATCCTTTTGATAATGGCAGGCGTAATGCGTAGATACTGTCATAACTGGCTTAGCTATCACGGTTTGACAAACCCAGCCCTACAACGCCCTGTGGAACAAGGTGCAGTAATCCTACTTCAGAGTGCCTGTGATTGCGGTCGAGACACATCGGCAGCATGGAAAAAAGCGCCGAGCCCATTATCGTTACTATACTCCTTTCTTCCCTGGACGCTTGGAGTATACAAAGAAAGGCCGCTCCTGAATCAAACGGTGTACAAGTGTACTGAAAAGGCCGTGCTGAAGGCAAAGCGGTTACAACCTGGGCTCTGAGCGATTTCGGGGCGACTTGCACGCGTAGAGGATGAAAGAGGGGTCAGGGTTTGCCGTACCAACCGCACTAACTTTTTGTTTCAGCGCAGCTGCAATCTGCATATACACACCAACGCTTTTTACCTTTGCGTGCACTCGATGGTTTCACAGCAGTCCCTTTAGCGAAGGCTGCATACCGGGATTAGCATTACAAGTCCTGCGGCGGCATTGCGATGTGGTTGCATCGTGTCTGCCAGTTTCTTTACACCACCGACTATAATTTACAGTACTTAGCCTGTAAAGCGATCCTTGAAGGACCGCCACCAGGGCAGCCGGGCTCCGGAGCTTCGCCCGGGGATGATTCTCTCGACTTAATTAGTGCCTTTTCAGACTTGGCAACTACTCACCATCCATACGAGGATGCTGCATCCAGACTCCAAAACATAATCACGTTCACAGTGGATTCGGAGCTGCGTGTGCTCGCCGGCGAGGCGCTCGCCATCCTTAACAGCAAACGGCAGGACAAGTGCCAGCCACAACTGCGATGCTTCTGCGAGGGTTGCAACGAGGTCATCCGTCCCGACAGCTGCGAGGTGACATAAAATACTGCCTGAGGGGACCTCTTAGCGGCCTTTGAGGGGGGGAGGGGGCAAATCCGCGAATACCGTTTCTAAATAGGACGCTTGCATGGGCTCCAGCAGCTTGAAGGTTAGCAGCCTCACGCTCTTCCCTTTCCTCTCCCCCTCTTGCTCTCCCCACCCGCTTCCCCCCAGGTTTGTCGTACATGCCGTGTGGCTGTGTTTTGCAGCCCCGCCTGCCGCCGCGCCTCCCGCCTCGGCCGCCACGCCTCCTGCTACCTGGACCGGATCTCCCCCGCGCACCCCTTCCCGCACGACACGGCGATTTACCTCACCACACTACTGGTACGACAGAAGCGTACGGCAAGAGGGCACCAGGAACGGGAAGGAACAAAAGGGAGAGAAACCCAGGTTTACGGCGGCTGTTATCACCCCATGCGTGTTGCGCAGCATTACTGTTACCCCGCCCCTCTTGGGTATTCTTCATCTTCTTCCTCTCTCCCTCCCCCCCTCCCAGGCCTACGGCTCGCACTGGTCCCACCGGCTGCGCTGTCTGGCGCTGCTGAGTGCCCACCTGGGGGGGCCGCTGGGGCCGGAGGAGGAGCAATACCCGGTGGACAAGGAGGAGGTGGGGGGGAGGGGGTGAACAAGGAGAAGGTGGGGGGGAGGTGGGGGAAAAGACCATACCGATTTGAAGGAAACCACATGTTGACAGGGTATGAATAAGGAAGCTGACGTACTGTATGACGAGGTTGAATTGGGTGGGGGGGTGGGGGCGGGGGTTGTACACTGCAGCACAGGGTGAAGGCTGGTCGGGTTCACCTGCCCCAGGGTGGGGGGTGGCATGTCAGTCATGGCTAGTCAGGCCCATCAGAAGGCGCCCACCTCTCTCCCCCCCACCTGCCCTCCTCCTCCCCCGCCTCCCCTTCCGCAGGCCTGCATGCTGCTGGGCGAGGGGCTGGCAGCCGGGCTGGCGCTGATGCTGCGGCAGCTGGGGCCGGTGGTGATGGAGAGGTGGGGGTGGGGGGAGGGGTGCAGGAGAGGTGGGGGGCAGGGGGGTGGGGTGCAGCCGTGCAGGAGAGGGCGCCTGGCCGCCCTGTTGGGTCGTACACGCAACAGGGGACATACGGGGGCATGCGGGGGCGGTCCGGCTCCCTCGCGTGCACCCCGCATGCACACTCACTTCTTTCCTCAGTCAGTTAGATACCGTATTTCCTCTTTACCCCCCCCCCTCCCCCCCTTCCAGGCAGTCCTGGCCCCCCGAGTGGTTGCAGCGGGATGACATGCTGGCGGAGTGGGGGCTGGGGGCGGCGGCAGCTCGGGCGCGTGAGTGGGGTGGTGGGAGTGAGGAGGGGGGGGTGGGAGTGAGGGAGGGGAGTGCGGTGGAGAGGTGTGTGCCAGCAAGCCCCACCTGGGGTTTGCGGGGGACAGCACACACACGCACACACACACGCACGGGCCCCATCGTTGCGATGCGGGAGGGGATGCTGCTGCCTGCTGGATGCACTGCTAACCCATCTCCTAAACCCCTGCTCTCTCCCCCATGGTCCCCTCCCCTCCCCCACCTCCCTCCCTCCCTCCCTAGTGCGTCTGGTGACCTGCCTCACGTCGGCTCGCCCCCCGGGTCTGCCTGGAGTGGAGCGGGGGGCGGGGCAGCTGGCGGAGGCGGGCGCGCAGCTGGGGGCGGGAGGGGGGGCAGGAGGGGGGTGGAGTGCGCTGGAGGGGTTGGTGGCGCTGTGCATCAATGCGGTGAGAGGGGTAAAAGAGCAATGAGACAACACTGACAACACTGACTGATAGGGGTGGGGGAGGGGCGGGGAGGGGCTGGTGGGCTGCGAAAGGTGGCGGGCTGGGCAGGAGGAGGAGGAGGAGGGTGGGAGTGTCAGCGAGGGACATCCGATTGCGCTGGCATGCAGCCCCGTGCAGCCCCGTGCAGCCCCGTGCAGAGCCCCCCTTGCATCACTCCTAACCTACTCCCTAACTCTTTCACCCCCGCTACACAGCCAGTTAGTCTTTTCCTTCCTCTCCCCCTCTCCCTCCCCCCCCCCCAGGCCCCCTTCTTCCCGCCCGCCTCCCGCCACGTGCGCTATGACGCGCTGCTCACGCTGCACATGCTGGCGGCGCGAGGGGGGCCGGCGGGGGAGGCGGCGGGCCGGGCGGCGGGCAGGCTGAGCGGCGCGGGGCTGCGGGGCCTGCTGGCGGCGGCAGGGGGGCCGGGCAGGGGAGGAGGCGGAGGAGGCAGGGGCGCTGATAGGAACAAGGATGCGTCACGCCGGGAGGTGAGTGAGGCAGGCGAGTCGGGGAGGAGAGGTGTTGTGTCTGTCCGGGTCCGGGCTGGCATCACGCTTGTGCCCTCTCTGCTTCCATGCGTCCCCATGTCACACACGGTTAGTTCCTTTCCTCCCTCCATCCCCCCCAACCCCAACCCAACACGTTTGACTACACGCAATCCTATAATCCAGCCTAATGCGGAATATGTGTCCCCCTATCAACCCTCAACCCCCAACCTCAACCCCCAACCCCAGGTAGCTCTGCAGTGCCTGCTGCGGCTGCTGGCCCGCACCCCCGTCTCCCTCGACCTGCGAGACGTGCTGGAGGCGGAGTGGCCCCTCGCGGCCGACCTGCTGAGGGGGCTGCTGGCGCCCGCACTCGCCCTCCTGCCACCGCACCACCAGCAGCAACAGGGGCAGCAACACCTGGGGTTGAGCATGACCCATGGGTCGGCCATGGCTAGCAGTATTGGTAGCCGTACAAGCACCAGCAGTAGCAGCAGTAGCAGTACGGCAGCGGTGGGTCTGCTGCTGGATGCGTTTGCGGAGCTGCTGGAGTGTGGGGGGCGGAATGGGATGCTGGGGTTGCAGCAGGTGGAGGCGGCGGTGGGGGCGATGGTGGCGGCGGCTACCGCACCCCTGCCACCCCCCACCCCCACCTCCCCCGGATCTGCCACCGGAGCCGCTACAGGAGTTGCCACCGGTGCGGCAACGACGACAAAGACAACCCAGCATCAGTCCTCCCGCCGTGCTCGCCCCGCCTCCGCATCTGCCTCCTCCTCCGTCCCTTCCTCCTCCACCACTGCTGCTGCCGCTGCTACCGCTGCTACTGCCACTGCTACCGCTGCTGCCGCTGCAGCAGTGGCGGTGCGGGGTGCTGCTGCTGAGGCGCTGTGTCGGCACGGGGGGATGCTGGAGGCGGCGGGGGTGATGAGGCTGCTGGAGGAGGTGAGGGGACGGAGGGGGAGGGGTGGAAGGGGGGGTGGGAGTTGCACATGCACCCCTGCGTCATGCGTTTTGCCTGGTCTAACCCCTCCTCCCTCCTCCGTCTTCCCCCATCTGCCGCCCTCTCTCTCCCCTTCCCCGCAGATGCTAGCTACCCCCTCCACCTCCCCCACCCCCTCCGCCCCCTCCCCCCGCCTGCTGCCCCCTCGCGGAGTGGAGCTGCTCCGCACCTGGCTGGCCGCCCGCCACCCCGCCCGCCTCCTCAGCCACCCCACCCTACCTCTGTACCACCCCCACCCGCCCCACACGCTCTTCTGTACCGCATGCATGGGGGGCGGGGGCGGAGGCGGGGAAGGGGCGGCGGGGGGGTGCAGTGGCGGGGGAGGTCCGGACGACATCCCGCTGCTGGCGCTGTACGAGAAAGTACGGGAGCCGCTGTGGGGCAGTGTACGGCAGCTGGGTGAGGGGGGGAGGAGGAGTTGGGAATGGAAGGTTCGGGATGGGGGTGAGGAGGATGAGGAGTTCGCCGGTTGGGGGTGGGTCAGGGTGTCAATTCCTGCGTCCCCGCTTCCTGCGTCCCCCCGCAGCAGCATGTTGTATACCACTGCTCCTGCAGTTGGCCCCAGTTCACCACTTGTGGCGTGCTTGTGGGGGCTTTATGTTCCGGCAATCACATTATCTCCTGACTCGCGGCCAGTTTTATTATCACGCTCTACTTCACCCGCCCCTCCTCCCCTCCTCCCAGGTGACACCCTGCGAGCCGCCCCCCCGGGCAGCAGCGGCAGCAGCGGCTGCGGGGGCCTCAGCGCCCGGGCTGCTGAGGAGGCGGGTGCGCTGGTGGAGGTGGTGGGGCGGCTGGTGGAGAGGGTGCAGGTGAGGGGGGGGGGGAGGGTGGGAGGAAGGGAAGGTGGGGGGGATGAAGGAACTGACGAGGAGCTGTGTACGAGCTGTTGTATTGCGGATGCAGGGGTGGGGGTGTGTCGTCTCCCCACACTCCTTCCCTTCCTCCTTCTCCCCCTTCCCCCCATCCCTCCCCACTCCTCAGTCGGGATATGGGATCGGAACTCCGTTGCTTCACTGTCAAGTTAATTCTCCCCCTGCCTCACTTCTCATCTTTCTCCCCCCCCCACCCACCCAGTTCCCCGGTGCCGCCGTCAGCGCCGCTGCAGACCTGCTGCTGCAGCCCGGCTGCCTGCCCGCCCTGATGCGCGCCGTCATGGCACTGCGGCGGCCGCAACCCACCGCCTGGGCCCTCAGGGCGCTGATGCAGGCGGCAGCGGGCAGCAGCGGCAGCAGCAGCAGTGGGCAGGCAGGGGCGGGGGGAGCAGCAGGGACAGGGGCAGGGGCAGGGGGGGTAGTGGAGTTCAAGGCGGGGAGCAGCAGCAGCGGCAGCAGTGCCGGCAGCAGTGCAGGTGGTGGTGGGGGTACGGCACAGGGAGCCACGACTCCAGCCGGCGGCGGTGCGGGAAGCTCGGGTGCTGGAAGGGGCTCAGCAGCCTCCCCCGCCCCGGCAGTCCCCCCCGGCCCCAGTCCGCTACGTCAGGTGGTGGCGGCACTGCAGATGGAACAGCGCACCTCGGCAGCGGTGGGGGCGGGGGCGGGAGGAGGGCGGGAGGGGCGCAGCAATACCAGTAGCAGAGGAGGTGGAGGAGGAGGAGGAGGAGGAGGGGGGAGGTACGGCAACGGCGAGGAGCAGGAAGGGATCATCAGCTACATCGCTCGGCTGGCGGCTGACCCATGGGTCACCCTGGGGGCCGACGAGGCGGCAGCAGCTGGTGGGACTGCTGCTTCCCAGCAGCAGCAGCAGGAGCAGTGGAGGGAGGCAGTGTTGGAGGCGCAGGTGGGGTGTTGGCGTGTGAAGGTGTGTATGTTGTGTTAAAATAACTGGCCGCGATGTTGTGTGTGTGGGGGGGTGCTTCCCCTGGCATTCCTTTGTGGTGGGTTCTTGCAACATGTGCATCCAGCCCCCATACACACCCTCCCCAACCCCTCCCTCCTCCCTCCCGAACCTGTGGTCTCCTATGGTTTGCTATGGTCTCCCCTCCACCCCCAGGTAGCCGCGCACCGCTGTCTGGCTGCCTACCTAGCCGGCTCCCCCCACCTGCCCGCCGCCGTCGCCCTGCTCGCCACCCCCGGACTCCCCCAGCAGCTGCACGCCTTGGGCCTCAGCCAGCCGCAGCTGCTAGTGGTGCAGCAGCAGCCGGAGGGCAGCAGCAGCAGCAGTAGTGGCGGAGACAGAGGCGGAGGCGGCGTTGGTACGACACCCTCCCACTCCTCCTCCTCTTCATCAGCGCCGTCATCATCGTCGGCAGCAGCAGCAGCAGCGGCGGCAGCGGCAGCAGCGGCGGCAGCGGCAGCAGCGGCGGCAGCGGCAGCAGCGGCGGCAGCGGCAGCAGCGGCGGCAGCGGCAGCAGCGCCCACCTTGATCCTGTTGCCGCCCGAGTCGAAGGAGGGGTCGCGGAGTTGGGCGCTGTGGTGGTGCCGGGCTGGGCTGATGTGCGCGCTGGCGGGGGCGGCGGCCTGCTGGCGGGGGCAGCTGGCGGAGGCGGCGGCGGCGGCCAGGAAGGCGGCGGCGGCCAGGAAGGCGGCGGCGTCAGCACCATCCTCCTCCTCAAGCCGCCAGCACAAGGGAGGCAAGAAGGGAAGCGCCAAGGGCGCTGGAGGCGGGGGATCCCAGCAGCCCTCCACTGCTGCCACCTCCTCCTGGTCTACCCAAGTCCCCGTGTTGGGCGGTATGTCGGCCAGCGATCTAGCCCAGCTGCTGGCGGGGGTGGAGCTGCTGCTGCGCCCCGTGCCGCCGCTGCTGCAGGTGGCGCCAGGGTGCGACCCGGCGGCGGTACGGCAGTGCGTACGGGCGGTGGACCCCGCCCTGTACAACATCCTGCAGGAGGCTGCTGCTGCTGCTGCGGGTGCAGGTGGTGGTGGTGGTGGTGCGGGAGGTGCTGCTTCAGGTGCTGCTTCAGGTGGTGGTGGTGGTGGCGGTGGTGGAGTGCATGTGGAGCTGTGTGAGGTGTTGTGCGACTCGTATGGGGTGCTGGGTGGGGTGGTGGAGCAGCTGCGGGAGGTGAGGGAGAGCCTGGGGTTGCCGGAGGGGGAGGAGGAGGTCGGGGGGCAGGGGCAGGGGGGGGCGGGGGCGGGGGCAGGTGTGCGGGGTAGGGAGCAGCAGCCTGGTGCGGCGGCTGCAGCGGTGGAGAGGAGTAGGAGCGGGAGAGATGGCGGAGGTGGTAGTGCCAGCGGCGGGGTGGGGGTGGGTGAGGTGGAGGAGGAGGTGATGATTGTGTCACAGCGGGTGGTACCGCCGGAGGAGGAGGCGGTGCGGGGAGCGACGGCGGGGAGCGGGGACCGCATCACCAGCACCAGCGGCGGTGGAGACACGGGAAGAGGGGCCGCCACCTCCACCTCAACCGCCGCCGCCACTGCCGCTGCTGCCCCTGCCCCTGCTGCTGCCGGTGGTGGCGGAGGTGATGGGAGCGGCAGCAGCAGCAGCAGTGGTGTCAAGGTGTGCGGTCAGTGCGGCGGGCGGGGCGGGCAGGCGGGGGTGGGCAGGCTGCGCAAGTGTGCGGGGTGTCGAGCGGTGCGGTACTGCAGCAGCGCCTGCCAGGCGGCGCACTGGCCGCTGCACAAGCCGGCGTGCAAGGCGGCACAGGCAGCAGCGGCGGCGGTGGCACAGGCGGTGGCACAGGCGATGGCGGGAGATGAGGGGGCGGCTGCCACGGGGTTGTGATGAGCGGTAGGGGTCGATGAGGGTCAAGTGAAGGACTGAGGGGACACGTTCGAAGGGCGGGTGTTGTGGAGGGTGCTTTGAGGAGGGTGATTTGAGGAGGAGGAGGAGGAGGAGGAGGAGCAGGAGGAGGAGGCTGGCGGGGAGGGGCCCGGCTGGCCAGCGTGCACCACGTGCAGGCAGTGCAGGCAGTGGCAGAGTGGCAGGGGAGAGGGGGGGTTAGGTACTGCAGAACCGCAGAACCGCAGAGAACTTCAGAGGAGTGATATTGTGTTCGCGCTGTTTGCTCGTCCCTAATGCATCCCATGTGTCGAGGGCAGTTCTGCAAGCAGGCAGCTGGTGGGTGGGGGCGGGGAGTGGCGGGGGCGTCAGGAGGGGTGCTGTGTACTGAGGGAGGAGGGCAAGCGGCCCAAAGATAGCGCATCAGTGATAATGTGAGGGGGGGGCCTCAGGGCAAACAGTGTTCGGGGTCCGTGCGGTTTCCCTGACGTCTGCATAACGCGCTCCAGTATAACGCTCTCCCGGTGTGTATATCTGTCTGTTGCTGCGGAGGTGTTTAGGTGCCGCGCCCATACACCGGCTTGCACACGCGCACACAACGTCACTGGGGTCTGCTAGGCGTCAGCGAGTCCCAAAGCACAGGTGCCAACACAATACCTTGGTATACACTTAGGACAACTTGCCGACTTCGTAGCATGCATTTTCCTCAGCGATAACACGACCGAACCGCGGGACACAAGCTCGCACGCTGACAGAATGAACATGCCGATAACACGGCGCGACACTGGCGAGGCATGTATAACTAAGGCTGCGTTCATTGTTGCTGGCTTGAGGCATGGAGGGGTGTTGAGGAGGGCGATAACCTCTTCCGTTTCATCACCACCAATCCTGCCGCCTACTTCCTCCTCCGCCGACCCCATCTGCACATCCTCCTTCTCAACCACAGCAACCAACGGGCTACTGCTGCTACTGCGGCCCTCCTCCAACACACCCTGCTGCCCTCCTCCAACACACCCTGCTGCTACTGCTGCTACTGCTGCCCTCCTCCAACACACCCTGCTGCTACTGCTGCTACTGCGGCCCTCCTCCAACACACCCTGCTGCCCTCCTCCAACACACCCTGCTGCTACTGCTGCTGCTACTGCCCTCCTCCAACACACCCTGCTGCTACTGCTGCTACTGCTGCCCTCCTCCAACACACCCTGCTGCTACTGCTGCTACTGCTGCCCTCCTCCAACACACCCTGCTGCTACTGCTGCTACTGCTGCCCTCCTCCAACACACCCTGCTGCTACTGCTGCTATGCTGCCCTCCTCCAACACACCCTGCTGCTACTGCTGCTGCTACTGCCCTCCTCCAACACACCCTGCTGCTACTGCTGCTACTGCTGCCCTCCTCCAACACACCCTGCTGCTACTGCTGCTGCTACTGCCCTCCTCCAACACACCCTGCTGCTACTGCTGCTGCTACTGCCCTCCTCCAACACACCCTGCTGCTACTGCTGCTACTGCTGCCCTCCTCCAACACACCCTGCTGCTACTGCTGCTACTGCTGCCCTCCTCCAACACACCCTGCTGCTACTGCTGCTGCTACTGCCCTCCTCCAACACACCCTGCTGCTACTGCTGCTGCTACTGCCCTCCTCCAACACACCCTGCTGCTACTGCTGCTACTGCTGCCCTCCTCCAACACACCCTGCTGCTACTGCTGCTACTGCTGCCCTCCTCCAACACACCCTGCTGCTACTGCTGCTACTGCTGCCCTCCTCCAACACACCCTGCTGCCCTCCTCCAACACACCCTGCTGCCCACCACCACCACCGCCGCCACCACCACCACCGCCGCCACCACCACCACCCTCCCCTTCTCCATCTGGCCTCTTGCACAGGCACCCTTCCCGCCAAGCCAACCCGAGTCAGTCGCTCTTATCACCGTAGTTAGACCGTACACGCATGCTGCCTCACCGCACCTCCTGCATCCCCCTCACCGCCCTCACCGCACCTCCTCCCTCCCTCCCCTCACCGCACCTCCTGCACCCCCCCTCACCGCCCTCACCGCACCTCCTCCCTCCCTCCCCTCACCGCACCTCCTGCAACTCCGCCAGCTGCTTCCCCCGCGCCCGCACCGCCAGCAGCGCCCCCTCCAGAGTGCCCTTCAGACCCACTCGGAACCCCACCGCCGCAGCCAGGTCGCCCGCAGCAGCGGCAGCGGCAGTGGCAGCGGCTGCGGAGGCACCATCAGGCCCCTGCTGCTGCCATGCGTGTCGTGCGGGGTGTTCTGCAGGCAGCAGCGCCCAGCCGTTCCCGCCCCACTCGGCAGGCGGGCCGCCCGCAGCACTACTGCTGCTGCTGCCACAGCTGTTGCTGCTGTTGGTAGCGGCACCGTTGTTGTTAGGAGGGTTGTTGGCAGCAGCGGCGGTGAGGGTGGAGGAGGTGAGGGTGGCGGCGGCAGCAGCAGCCGCTGCATCCCGGGAGGCGTCAGCGAGCAGCTTGCGGTCCTGTGTGGGGGGAGGACGTTGCGGGTGGGAGGGATGAAGGATGAGGGGAGGGAAGAGGAGAGAGGAGGGGATCAGACGGAAGCAAGACAGGAGGGGAGGGGAAGGAACGGGATGGCGGCGATGTCAGGGGCGCCATTGCTCAGGGTGGGCATCACATGTCACATCGGTGCCGCCCCCCTGCGGCCGCTGCGGCTGCGGGGGCCTGACTACTGACATTGCAGGTGCCGTTACGACCCGAGACATACCCATCCTCACACACACCCGAAACCGCAATCTCCCTTCCCCAGCCCCTCCGCCTCCCCCCACTCCCGCCCCCTCCCCCTCCAAACCACGATGATGCCTTATCACACGGTCAGTTAGATGTTTCCTCTTTACATCCCCCTCCTGCCAGCCCCCCCACCCTCACCTGCTGTATGGTTGTGGGGAAGGCGGTGTAGAGGGTGGCGGCCAGGGCGGCCAGCAGCCGCATGATGGTCACCTCCTGAGGGGGGGTGGGGGAGAGGGAGGGGAAGGGGGAGAGGGGGGAGAGGGGGGAGAGGGGGGAGAGGGGGGAGAGGGGGGAGAGGGGGGAGAGGGGGGAGAGGGGGGAGAGGGGGGAGAGGGGGGAGAGGGGGGAGAGGGGGGAGAGGGGGGAGAGGGGGGAGAGGGGGGAGAGGGGGGAGAGGGGGGAGAGGGGGGAGAGGGGGGAGGGGGGAGGGGGGAGGGAGGAAACGAAGAATATGATGGAGGTGACGGACGGCAACCAAGGAAGGAGCTGCATGGAAGGAGGTACCGGCAAGGGCGCATGCAAGCACGGCCGAGCGCTGCGGGCTTTGGATTCCCCCCAAGCTGACCCACACCCCAGTTCCTAACGAATTGCACCACCCTCCCACCATCCCTTCCCCCCTGCCCCATGATGACGCCTTATCACACGGATAATGTGTTGTTTCCTCAATACCTCCCCCTCCCTACCTGCTGCCTAGCGAGCGGCGCCCCCCACGTCCCCAGCTGCTCCGCACTCCGCCCCGCCAGCTGCCCCGCCCACCGCTCGTCCGTCAGGGTGGCGACCCGCAGCGCCGCCAGCAGCAGCGGGTCGGCGGGTTGC